ACTGAAATTTTTTACTACCGTGTTTTCTATGCGAATTAAAAACTGATAAAACAATAAACATGGAAGATCAAGATTAAAATAAAATTATTAATATTATAAATGTATATTTTTTGGGATTTGATGATTTGTAACTCCCCATTAATTATTTGGGAGTTACATATCAAATAAATTTACTGAAATACCCTTATAATTAAAATGTGAGCATGACATAAACCTACAAGAAGAATGTAATTTGATTGGTTGTCATGGTGTTCAAAGTTAACACAAAATTATTGGTTAACATTTGATCTTCCCCCTATATAAAGAGGTTATAAAAATAACATATAAATTCAAATTGGATGTTTTGTTTGATATTGATTTTATATGATGAACACGGGCAAATGTCGGTCATCAATGAAAGGAGGGCTGAATATTTAAAATTGGATGTTTTGTTTGATATTGATGGTGTAAAAATCAGTTTATCTTAAAGGTAAAAGTGAGCTTTTGTGATGAAGCAAAAAAGAAATTGTGAAGGAAAATTGTGTTGGTGATGAATTTACTATTTCTTAGATACTGTTTTTATACCGGTTGATTATTACAAAAAGAATTCATACATATAATTCTGTTTGCTGATACTTTTGTTTTATCAGGCTGATAACTTCTTTTAACATTCAACATTCTTACCAAAGGGCCTTTGGCCTAACAATATCGTAGCCCTTGGCCTTCTAGGAGGGGTTCAAACATCACCATAGGTGAGGAGGGTGTGTGAGTTTATTTAACACATAAAATAAATAACTGCAACTTGTAGAATTATAAAAAAGGAATTACAGTTTGTTTTATAGGATCACAAAATCAAGAACTAATCCTTTGCAGCCTCACCAGCTTGATGTTTGACTATACTCAGTTGACCACCTTCTTTGTTGGCGGCAGTGGCTGCTTTCACCTCATTGCAGTAGTTGATGAACTTGCTCAGCTCCTGATCCAATCCAAACACCATTCATTATATCCACTTACACAACATTAACCCCCACACTAAACCTCTCTTTCCTACCTCACAAAACAAAACAAAACAAAAGCCTATGCCATATTTGGTGCACCATAAAATATAGAGCAAAAATTAGGGAGATGGAACAAGATTGATAACTGTTCATGTCAAATTAAAACCCTAAAACCTTCCACGATTCTTTCACTCTCGCTTATCCAGTCAGGTCCAATTCAGATACTAGACTCATTCCTAAATGCATAGGATGTGGGGGTTGATGATGACTTGTGATTCTTCATTCTCCCCACCATAAAGAAACTTTGCTGTTAGTTCTTTCTAATTGTATCCATGCTTTTAGTAATCCCAGAAGGATAATTGCAGTAATCCCATGGGGCCCTGAAGATAACAACCATGAAAATCCCAGTGGCCCTAGTGAGACTCGAACCCGACGACCTATGAGGAGGAGCTTCAAGGCCTGGCCTTTATTTGCCACTTGAGCTAGCTCTCAAGTTAAAATGCCAAGACACAAAAACTACATGCCAAGTGCAACATTAAAGTATTTCCCCATTTTTCTTTTGTTGGCATGCAGACCTGAATTACAAACTTGAGATCTGAATGAGATAGCAACCAAATTATATGCGTTAGGCATGCTTGCCAATTTGGCTCTACTTCACAACATGCACCATATTCAATCACTTCCAGATTTGAAAATCTATGAGAAAAAAGGATGAGAGTTTCGTGACATAATGTGCTTATGCAAGATGAGACATGTTCATGTCACCCGTCTAAATCTAACGAAACACCTAGATTAAGAAATTATGGTAAGAATTGTGCATACCAACACTTAAACTTTATCGCACATGTCAACAAGTTTTTGGTATTATACATATCGAAATTCTTAGGCCATAAAAAGAACCACTTGTTTCATGAGCTTCTAGGATCTAGATCAAACCTAGGATTAATTTGAATAAGTGTGTCAATTTGTGGTTACTAATTCTTATTTGAAATAATAACAATTCTAACCATTGTCCTCGATCTCAGGGGCGGATTCAGTAATAGCCTAGGGAGTGCCTGTGCCTCTGCTCTATCATTCCGACGCAATGGAAAAAATTATTAGGGGTCCTAGGTGCACCGGCTTTAATTTGATATGTGCTCCCCTAAGTTTAGAAGAAGTGGCTGCAGTCTGCTGGTTGCATCATTTATGCAACAATACAGGTTGCAAGTTCGAATCCCTTCGCCGATTTTTTCATTTTTTTGGTAACGGCAGCAGAAAAGAAGGTAAAAAAACAACTCGGTTGTTGCAAAAAACCACTTGTATGGGAATAACTTCGTAGCTGGCAACAATAAAACAAAAATAAACCGCTGCAAGAACACGCATAAAATAATCATCACGACTTGCCACCTTTAGTCCATTTTCACCCATTCATGCCAACTACAATGTTATTTACGTAATTTTAAAAATATAAGCGGTGGTTAACAAGTCTAGGCCATTCACAATGGTTAGAAATGTCGTATTATTTTATCCTATTCCCTCCTAAAATGCATTTAGAGCATCAAAGCAAGCTCGCCCCCCATGTCTACAGATGACACATCCATTTGATCATCGAGATAACCTGGATGCATAACACTTGCCACATATTCATAATTAGGGCCAGGTTCATTTGGGAACTGTAAATATGTTGAGAACTAACCATTCAGGATGAATATCATGAAAACATGAGTAGATATTCATGATTATTTAGGTATATTCATCAAGGTTCTAAATGGCATGAGGCATGGCATGGCGGTGAGGTCAAGCCACAAGTGTTAGGCGCCACGGCGAGGATGCGGTGTTTCTCAAGACGTAACCTAAGGTGGCAATTTTGTATGTCTTAAATATAATTATACATATATACATATTTGTTTTCAACTAATATATAATGAGACAATGATATTAAAAAATTTGTGATCAAAAAGTCAAAATAAAACTTCGGAAGAGTTTTCCAGCTTCGTTTTTAACCATGAGTCTGTGTGAGAATCCATGACTCCTTGAGCGAGGTAATTAGGTGAAGTGAAACCGTAAAGGTGTAAAACGTAAAGTTAAAAGTGTAAAAAACAAAAGGTATAAAAAATTAAAAAAGTCATGCCTTGTAAAAAAGGCACGCCATGGCTCGCCACAAGCCGCCATGGCAGGAGCCACGCCTTACACAAACGACAAGGGCCTTGGCTGAGAGGACTCTTGCACCACGGCATGCCGTTTAGAACCCTAATATTGATCATGAATAATTCATCAATTTTTGGTTCTCACAATTCTCAAAATATTCACAGTTCCTAAATGAACTTTCGCCTTCATAAGTATACATTGACAAGTATATGAGAGTAATCTTACAGGCACTTCCCACTTCCATAATCGGCCAGGTCCCACGTGTGAAAGATGTAATCGAATTATTCCATCCCCACCTCAACATTCATATCCTTTAAAACTTGGACACTACAGTGTAAGATAGAAGATGCCTAAACAGAGTACTCCCCAAGTCCCATCATAAGAAGTCCAGATTTGATCTTTTCAGGATCAAATCATGTATTTGAAATTAATATTGCTTAGAAAAAACCAGAGTGGTTTAATCCGTAATTGATAACCACAATAGACTACCAAAAATGTATTTGAACAACAAAACATCTTGCAGTTAAAAAGTTACAATAGTCTGAATCAATTTTGAATTGGAAAAACAGAAGGTCAGCATCCAAAACCGAAAATCAGCCATTTTTAGAACGAGGTAGCAATCATTACACAAAAAAGAAAAGCAACATAACCTAATGAAGAGAAGGCAATAAAAACCTACCCGATCGGTATCCATCTCCTGCGTAACCTTAGCAGGCTTCACAACTCTCTTTCCTGCAAACTCAGGAACTCAAATTAAATCAAAGCAAATTGAAGTCGTAAGTGCAGGCAAAACACAAACACAAAAAAAGAATTCAGATCCAAACCTTTGCGAGTTTTGGGGGTTTTCCCATGGCGGCTCGGAGGCACCGTTTTTCTCTTCTGCTGGCCTTTGAAGAGGTTGGCTTTCTGCGTCATTTTTCTGTGATGCAACAAAGAAGGGGTTTTGGGGCGTTTTAGGGTTCTGAAGCTAGAGCTGTGTATTTTAGCGGCGTTGGGTTAAATGTTCTCACCTTCAAAATATTTCTATTATTCCAACTTCTGCCACTAAAGTTTTTCTTTTTTACAATTTTACCACTCAAACTTTAAGCGACTACAATTTGCACCGATAAAAAATTCTTATTTTTGGGTAATTATGGTTTTCTGGATTAGCTTAGGAGTCGTTTATCGAACACTTATCCAGCAAGTGCTTACAAGTAAAATTCAACACTAACACTTACTTACCGGATAAGATTTTATTCAACAAAAACGGCATTTATGCAATAATTTACCCGATAAGCGCTAACTGTGGTAAGAGTTATCGTCCTCACTTACCGGGTAAGACTCTTCATCATTGTCTTCTCTTACGGGGTAAGATTCTTGGTTCTTACCAGTTACCATATTCATCTGGTAAGTTAATGTGACTTGATAAGCGCTTACCCGGATAAGCGTTTGGTAAACGGCCTCTTACTTGTTCCGACTAATTTCTCATACGACTATAAGTGGTCTAGAGGTATTATAGGTAAACCTTCATGGCCATAAGTGTTTTGACAATATCCAATTTAGAAAGTTGAAATATTTATTTATTAAAAAAATTGTCCAAAATGTTAATCTATATCTATACTATATTATAAAGCATTTGACAAAAACTCTTAAACATCATTTTTATGCATGAAGTACTGTTTATTGATGCATATTACTTAAAATTCAAGATTACAAATAAATTGTGCGTAACTACAACTTGTTAAAACTTCATGTTTGAATTTATATAACTAATTGCAGATAAAAATAGTTAAATATAAGATAAATATTTTATTTTAAATATAAAAAATTTAAAAATATAATTAAGATAATAATTGAATTCTAACAAAATACTTAATTATTATTCTTATAAAAAAAATTATATTATTAAATCAAAATTAAATTACTTCGTTTTTAAATCTAAATTAAATTATAATAAAAAAATTGAATTAAAGAAATTACACAAAAAATATGAACTTTTAGATAGTTAACTTGATACTAATATTGATATATTTATTTTCGAAATTTTAGTGATATCTTTAAATTTATATTTTATTCAAAAATAAAAACATTATCATTTTTTGAAAACCACATAAAAACCGTATTATAACATCTTCAAAAAAAATAAAACAAAATATTAAAATTAAAATATATCTCTGCATTGTAAAGATACCTTTCTGCTTATCCAAAATCGAAAAATAGGTTGAATTTTATGGTTTCTTTTACCTTTTTTACCTAATTCGTTTGACTCTAGTTTTAATAAATTTTTGCCTATTTTTAATTAAAAAAAGGAGGGAAATGTGTTTTAATTTTAAAATTAAGGTTTTATCATTTTTTTTAATCAAATCCATCCATTTGAGATATATTTCATGTCTTCAAAAATTTTGTTGTTTATATTTGAACTTTTTTGCATATATACTTTTTATTTTTTTGATAAAAAAAAAAAAGATAAAGTGACCAATATGTCTTTAAGTTGAAGGATTTTTCATTAATGAAGTTAGGGTAAGAGACCAAATTCATAATAGAATGCATACCACAAGGACGTTTTCCATATATAATCATTTCATTTTAGGGACGATATCTAGTAAACCACATTGAAAGAGGCGAGACAACTTTGCCCAAATACAAGATAAGTAAGTACCAGATTCGATCCCATCATGCGAGTCTCAACCATTTAGTGAGCCAAAAATTGTCTCATCATATTGGTGTTCTTGGAGGTAGACTCTATGTGAAACCGCTTGAGATTGTCGATAATCAACATTTGTAAAAACTAATAACCTAGGGCCAGATGATAATACCCGAAACGATAGATTTGTATCCAAGTGTATGTCTAAAGTTATTTGACCTCCCACCATTAATGTCCATTTTTGGAAGATTTTCAAATAACATTCAACCTTTAGGGTGCGTTTGGTGCGCAGACAGGACTGGACAGGACAGGACGGGACAGGACAGGACATGACAATTGTTCAGCGTTTGGTAAGACAGGACAGGACAGGATAGAACTGGTTAAAATGACCAATTTACCCCCAGTGAGCTGTTTAGTGTTTTTTCACTACGAAATGCATTCTGGTAACACTGGTACTACTACCACTACAGCCCTAATAATTCATCAACAACAACAACATTCAGCAATCATAATCAATGTAAACTCTCGAAATAAATCATAATACTTCATTAAAATCCCTAATAAGTACTTCAATTAATCAAGTTATTGGCGAAATCGAGTACGAAACCACCATCAAAATATAATTCCTTACTTGCATGAAACAAGAAGAAAGGTATTTGAAGAGTTTCTTCAAATTCGTGATGTAGTTGCTGTAAGAAGCAGCAGCGGCCATCGGAGAAGCAGCAGCGGCGACCATCGGGAGAAACAGCAGCGGCCATCGGAGAAGCAGCAGCGGCGGCCATCGGAGAAGCAGCAGCGGCGGCCATCGGAAGTCGCCGTCACCGGTCGTCGGTTGAGCGGTGGAAGCGATGGAGGAGAGGAGAGTGAAGGGGAAGAAGGAAGGTATGCGTATGAGGTTTTTGAGGGTAAAGTGGTAAAAAGTTTCTTGTTCTACTTAGTTCCATGGGTAAAGGGTGGACAACCTTGTCCCACCCTTGTTCTAGTTAGTCCCACATAAAACCACACCAAACATAGGACAATTGTGTTTTGTCCTGTCCTGTCCCACCCTGTCTAACGTACCAAACGCACCCTTAAAGGCTTAGCATTTCTTTAGGTGGTTTCACCTCACCAACCATCCTTTGTTGTTGTCTCCATAATTTCTCCAAATTTTTATTGTGAAATTACTAATTTGACCTTTATTTCTCCAAATTTCTATTGTGAAGATCCTCCTAGTGTGCCATTCTTCAATCTTCACAAGGTGTATAAATCCATACCCCCATAGTCTTAATTTCTTCCTCACATCCCAGCATCAAAGGTCAAAGAGAATCAAACATGTCGAAAACCATAAGAGTCACCACCTTGTGCATGGTAGCAGTACTCCTCCTTTCCATGCTATCGGACACCATTTCCCGTCCAATCCCAGCGTTCAACAATGTTACCCCCATCAAAACTCATCACACAGTAAGTCAAAATTTTCATTTCTTTTCACGAATATTATCTTCCTCCCATTGCATCAATATCTTGATGGCGTGATTCAAGAATACAACAAGGCCCGAATAAGAAAGACAAAAAGGTTGAGAACGTATGAATAAACGATTCATATGTGCATCATTGGTAAATCGAAAAAAATAAATCATTTAAGGATGCATATGTCAACTCATGTTCGCTTACCAATTAATTCAGCATGCGTGGACTCATGTTTGCTTACCTATCTCTTTACCAATTATTTACATATGAAGATGCATATATGAACTCACGTTTTTACCTATTTTTTTTTTACCAATTATTCACATAAAAAGATGCATATGTGAACCCACATTTCATTTTACCAAAAATTTACATATGAATCATATATTTGTACATTCTCGACTTTTTTTGCATTTCTTGATTAAAGCTCCCTCCTATCTATCTCTCTCTCTCTCTCTCTCTATATATATATATATATATCTATGTGTGTGTGTATATATATATATATAACATCTCGAGCGTAAAATTAAACCTTTCAGAATGCACATGTTTAATTAATTAGTCGAATCCAATATCAATAATATAGTAATAATTTAAGTTATTTTGTATGTATATATGTATATGTATATATATTACAGGAGGAAGAGGTGTCAAACGCTAAAGTTGAAGAGAAGTGTTTAACGGGTGAAGAAGAGTGTTTGATGAGAAGAACTCTTGCTGCTCATCTTGATTATATTTATACCAATAAGACAAAACCATGAAACAATTAAATATGTATTCATAAAAAATGCTTCTTAAATAAGAAAAATTAAATAAATTAATTGGTTTTGATTTTATGTGCTTAATTATATGCTATCATGTTTTCTTTATTTTTCCATCATTACCCTTTTTTAATAATTATTATGCATAAACTCTCGTTAAAACTTTCAAGTGATCGGAACCCTAAAGTTGGAGCAAGAAGAGGTCGAACGTTCAGACTGGAGTTTGGACCGCAAGTTAAAGGAACACTTGTCGAGATAGGCTCTTTGTGAAAATGTTTGTGTATAGGATAGAACGGAGGAGTATGGAGTACTTGGACGTGATCCATACAGGGCCGTCCGGATCATTTTGGAGGCTCTGTTACACTAGAATAAAAAATATAAGTCGATTGGCTGACAAAACAAATAAAAGTTAAATAGAAAAGTTCATATTATATTAAAAATCTTACAAATTAAAATAGTCAAAAGACAAAGTAACATGTAAATTTCACTTGAATAGAATCTTTCTTTTAACGTTCTTGAAAACAAAATCTTCAGTAAGTTATTCATAATCAACTTTTTCCAAAATGTCATTTTCAAGTTCTACCATTGCAAGTCGATTAAGCCTTTCTTGTGTCATTGTGGAACGCATATAAGACTTCAACAACATCAACTTTCAAAAACTTCTTTCTGCAGATGCAACAGTTACAGGAATAGTCAACAAAATTTTATAAGCAATAATAGCATTAGGGAAACATTCAACATGTTTCAGATACCTTAAAATATCAAGGGGTCTCATCTTTTGTTTGGGTAAAAAAATATTGAAGTATCTTCAGTTCAACATATAAGTCATTCCTATCTATATCAGATTGGTCTTGTTTCTTCAGTACATTTTCAAAATTAGTACAAGAACACTTTAAACATGTATCATCTAAAGAATGCAACTTATAAGATGTAATAAAAACCCAAATACACTTTCATATTCTTGGTATTGTTCAAAGCTCCTACTTAGTAAAGCAATTGCATGATCAACGACACATAAGAAATAGTTAAATCTAAATGATTCCTCCGTTGATTGTGAATTCATTTCAGATGCATCACGAGTATTTTCATCAAAATGTCTTTTTCTTCAAATTTCACTTCTTCGAGGAAACAACGGATCATATTCAACTCCGTGGCAAGCTTCTTTGTTGATTCTATAGTATCTAAAAATCATGTTTCTCTATAGCCCTTAAAAAAGAAATCGGTCCATGAACTTGATCAATAACAACATCAATTAACATATTTCCTGACTGTAAATGTAAACTAACCAAATTTACAGCATATAATATTTCATACCAAACCACCATTGACACTATAAACTCAAAATCACGAGCGGCTGGGGTAGAAGGGAGGATAGTTCATTCATCACAAGGGCATTCGCTAAGCTCATTGTGTGCTAAAGATTTTGCTTCACTTTTAATTTTTAAATCATTATCTATTTCAACCACTTAAAATAAAGTTTCTCTTATATATAACACTTGAATATAGCTTTCACACTATCAATATGACTCTCCCAACGAGTCGTTGAGAATGATTTGACAGTCCATCCTCTTATATTATCTTTAAACACTTGAATCTTTTAGAGGAATTAGCAAATATTTACAAGAAACTTTACAACAGGAACAACTCTTACCAAGACTTCTTTCCAATGATTTTTTTCTTTCTCTATTTGGGTTTGAACAACTTTGTCAATGTTTTGATTCTTTTGAAGTCTTAGCTGCAAATCATATCAAGTTTTCATATTCATTACATGATCTATACGTGTTTCATGCTTCTTAAGTCTAGTGCTAAGGTGTGACTAATTCTCAAATCCATCATTTATTAACTGATCTTTTATATGTTTTTTTAAAAAAAAGTACAACAAAAACAAAATACATTATCAAGCTCTACCAAATATACAAGCCAATCTCTATCGCATTTCTTCCCATTTGATAAAATTCTAGTATACCATGTGGCAGAAAATCGTTTAGACAATTTATCTTTAGGACCTTTTTGAACAAACAAATCTCTTTTAGGACCCTAAGCAACTAATACATCAATCATTTTAGAATTTAAAGCATCCCAATTTCTTGGATCGAATATATCAAAATGATTAAAAACATCATCAACATTAGTAGCATCATCACCATCAGTAGCATCAGGAACATCATTAGAAACATTATTAGCATTAACATTAATTATATCATCTAAATTAACACTAGTATCAACATTTGTAGCCAAATCCTTATGGGAGTCATTTAGGGTGCCAACTAAATTTACCAAGTTAGGATTTTCATTAGAAGCATCAACACAAGTATCATCCAAATTAATATCAATATGCTCATTGTCAAGAGAAGTTTGTGATTCTTTTATGACAAACTTATCAAGAGATACTTTTTAGATTGGATTATCTCTTCAATTCTTTTCCTATTTTTTACATTTCCTTTTTTTTTTTACATTTTTAAGATCCAGAATCATATTTTCTAATGCTATAAGACATATTGAAACTGAAATAAGTAAAAAAAAAGATAAGGAACATGTTTGGTTCATTGGTGTTGAACTAGATTGCTACTATAGCTCGAGGAGTAGATTTCGTGGAAAGACAAAATCAACAACCTGCAAAAATTAAAAATAGGGAAGTCGACTGCTAAAAATGGGGAAGACCTAACATCTACAGACGGAACCATTTTTTCGGAATAGTGCTACAAAACAAAACAATTAGAGTGAGATAAAGCTAATTATAAAATAATCATAGCTACATTAAGCAAATTAAGCTATGTTAGAGACGGGTAACCCGATTAACCTGTTAGGCCGTTTTTCTATCACCACCATTAGGGCTGTAAACGAACCGAACGTTCAGCGAACCGTTCGCAAACCGTTCGGCAGGAAGTTCGTTTATTTAATAAATGAACGGACATGAACAAAAAAATTTGTTCGGTTAGTTAAACGAACGAGACTTTTGTTCATGTTCGGTTCGTTCATTTATGTTCGTGAACGTTCGTTCATTTACCGTTCGTTTATATTCATTCGTTTATGTTCGTTTATATATTAAATTTAATATATAATCTTTAGTTTATTTACTTTGAATTCAAATAATATTTATTTATGTTCATTTAGCCCGTTCGTTTATGTTCGTTTAACCCGTTCGTTTATGTTCGTACGTTTACGTTCGTTTAGCATGTTAACGAACGAACTTAAACGAACACGAACACACTTGATTTCTAAACAAACGAACACGAACACAAAGATTTTCGTTCGTTTACCGTTCGTGTTCGTTCATTTGTTCGGTTAAGTTAAACGAACGAACATGAACAAGCCTTCGTTCGTGTTTGTTCGGTTCGTTTACAGCCCTAACCACCATTGCTCCTATAATTGATCTCCCTCTTTTTGATTTATTTTGTTTTTTCGATTATTTCTTTTTTATCTATCTATACGTATTTTATTAAATTATTGTAAAAGAGGAAGAATCGAAAGACAAAAAAAAACAGGGAGATAAATGGTAGGGGTAAACAACGACGATGGGAGATAGAGAGAACGCACAACGATGGGCCAACCAAGGGTGGCAATGGGGAACGATGTCATTGGGTACGAGGGGTTTGAATGAAATAGGGTTTGGGAATAATAAAATTAATTTAAGTTTTTTACTTTAAAACTTTCCTAACCGGTTATAGGTACTTTTTTAGGTTAAAAAAATATAAATATTCCTAAACTTAATTATTAAAAATACGAAAGATCAATAATTTATTTACTTAAAAAAAGATTCAAAGATTATTCAGAATAACAAAGTTGTTTGATATTAATTTAAAAAAAAAAAAAAAGCCTACTCATCATTCTTGATCACCAAGTGTTTGATATTTTGCTTCATCGAACAACAATAAAATTTGACGAATTACGAGATCATGGTATAAGCAAAATAGAGACCCTATCACCACAATATTTTGTTCAATTATTCACAAAAACCGACCAACCAACCATCATGTTAGATACTAGTTGCTATGCCTAAAATCTGGTTTCGACATCCATAGTTAAAAAAATTAGATATTTATTTCCTACATGGCCTCCATAGAATCGGTACCAATTTTAACCGGCAAACCAAGACAGATCCTGGCCGTTGGCGTCTCCAACCCCTGAGAAGCGTCTTTGACTATATACTTAGAAGCGGTCTCAAACGACATCTTAAGAAAAGGAGAGACACTGATTCAGATATGTTGCCAAATCTATTCATTGGTCGATACCCCACCTGAATGAGTCATGTAATCCGCAATAAGACTCAAATGTTTGTAATCAATCTCGAGTCCATAACTCCCGAAAACGTTCTTCATCTCCAATATGATGCTCGTTCTTGCAGCTTCAACTCCGTAAGTGTTGAGCATTACGTATATGTTGTTGGAATAAACATGGTCAACATCCAGGTCTTCTTCCATGTCCCAAAACGCGGGGAATTTCCGTTAATTCGGGATAGCAAAGCAACATGTCTTTCAATTCCATCCTCCAATGCCCTTAGAAAAACGTTTTGAAGGGTTTCTTGACAGTTTCGTAGTGATACATGTCTTGGTTGTTTGAGTTTCACCATAAGCTTATAGATTCTGCATGGTTGATTGTTATCAACTACAAGCTGTAATTTAGAGGCTTGTATACTCCGCATAAGTTCTGCAACCGATAACTTCTTTACTTTCTCCATAAGTCTCAGCATCCTCCCTATAATTGTTTCATATAATCACAAGCATAAATAAAAAAGTTCAGAGGTCATTCGGTAATGCAATATACGGCACAAAAATTTGTTGTTCTACGTTTAGCGTTATATTAAACTCGGACAGAACTGACCTGACTGGAACAAAAATGCATTCTTTTCTATCCCACCGAAATAGGCAGAAGGAAAATCAGGGAGATGAGACAAGATGGGTAAATTACTAAATTACCATGTTAAATACAAACCATAAAATCTTCCACAATTCTTCCTGCTTACCTCTCTCATCCAGTTTCATCTGGTTACCAAATGCACCCGTAACAATTGGGGTCTTTATGTTAGCAGAAACTGTCATTAAGATCTCCTGCAAACGTAGAATACGGAGTGTAACATTCATCTCACCACGTCCAGCAACATGAAAAGTGTGAGCCTGCAAAGTAGGGTTCAACATAAAGCAACAAACTTTAAATCCAATTTCCATCATGTGATGATATATGGAGATAGAACCTGAAAATGGATATAAGAAATGGAACAAACAAAAGGACCATGACTTTTACATGAATAAATGGGCTAAACAACCTTTTATTTGAGCACCTTATACATGTATATAAAGGGGAATAAGCAATTGAAAAAAAAAAGTTGAGAACCGTGAGAACCAATAATTAATCATGTGATGTTCCATATTATGAAACAATGCATGTGAAAGTACATTATTGTTTCACAATATGAAACATAAAATACACGGTGCAAAACAACATTGTATTTTGAATGTGCATTGTGAAGCAACACATGATTAATGGTTATCATGGTTCTCAACTTTTTTATGGTTCTCGTTAGATTATTCTCCTATATATGTGTGTTTATATGTTTAGATACATATATATGTATATGGAGTGTTAAAGTGAGAAGTATAAAAAGAGGTCTCCATCCTTGAATGTACATTAGGATGAGATACACCAAATCAATCCTTGTATCAAGCACGATTCATGAGTGAGTTTGAGATTAAAGATGATCAAAGGGTCTAGATCCCTTCTTACGCTTCTCACCTTAACCCTCCTTCTCACATGATCGTTCGCCTATGTATATGTATCTATCTACATATATGCATGCAGAATCTTACGTCATCTTGGTAGACGGTTCACCAACCGATTGACCAACAATAATACAAACCAGCGCTCTTGGCTGGGCAAGACTAGAGAGATACTTTTGTCTTACAAGCATCAACAAATCATCTCGGTTCTCCTTCGTAACCTTATGTTTGGAACTTCGAACTTGCGGCAACTCTTGAATATAAGAACTGAACTCAACCAACCTTACCAACCAAGGTGTTTGTAATTAGTTTGATACGAAGACAAGCAAATGAAACTAAACGAGCCCCATTCCTATCCCGGCAATGAAATTAAGACACATTAGATTTTCATTTATTTTGAATTCGAGGTAGTCTTGTTGGCCAAGCAAAAAGGATATTTGTTGAAAGTTGAAAAATTAGAAAATAGAAAACATAATGTAGAAAAAGATGATGTAAGCAGCAAAAGATGGACAAGCATAGAATTGTGGTATAAATTAACATATATACTAGCAGTTTTTGGTTGCTTGCGAGTCAAGTTTTATCTTGAAGCTACACAGTTTACTTCTATATAATTATCCAAATTTGAAGACTTCATTTTTGACAATCCTTAAATATAATTGACAAAAAGATGAATATTATTTCATGTCACCCATCGCTAATGGCGGACCCAAGGCATGCAATGTCGCAGTCCCCCCCCCCCCCCAACAAAAGTCAACGTAATTTGACACACAGAAAGTCAGCTTTGGGATATTAAAATACATTTCCAAAATGAACTCGATCTTTTGAGCAAGACACAATACTACGTCTTATTTTTAATAAAAAAAAACATATTTAGAATTAAACAGGTGTATTATTTTAACCACTCATTTTTTTTCTCTTATGATAATCAATTAAGTGGATGTACGAAACTTCGCTAAACTCTTATTAGGTTCGCCCCTACAAATCTCCCTTGATTTCTCTCTTTTCCTACTCTAGTGTGTGCCGTATAAGATGAAAGTGCTGTCGGATAATTTGGGTTTGGGAAATAGCAATTTTCAAGATCGATAACTGTCTTTGTGGGTTATACGCAATCGGACGATGAAATTGGAGGAGAGGGTGAGAGATTTTAGGACGGTTTTGAGGAAGGTGGTTGGACGGGGTAGGGGGTGTCGTCGGGTTGTAGCTTTGTACAATAATCATGGTAACTGGTACCTCTTAAAATTAAACAATAACCGATAAGCTACTTTACAATATAATAATATAGATATTGCTTAGTTTCACACACAACTTAATCCAATTCTTTTGTTGTTATAAAAAATTTATGGCAAATAACAACAATATGTAAATGGGTAACGAGAATTAGGCAAAAAAATAGAGAAAATATTACTCAAAAAATGAGAATGAGACTCAGACTAGATAAATATAAATAAAATTTTATTAAAATTGTTATGTTAACGGCAGGTTGGCGGATTAGATTGAGTTGAGTTAGACGTAACCCAGTTTCAACCCTATTAAATGATGGTTTAATTGGATTATTTATGGGTTAGGTTGGATGGGTCGAAAATGTTAGATTTTTTTTGTGAAGCCCTATTCATGAGCCATAGACCTCTGCTTTTTTTTTTTTTTTAATTTGTTTAAATAATTAGGTCCACTTCTATAAGTTGCATCTAATAAGTCTGAACAAAATTTTGTTATTTAGAGTTTAGTACAATGTTAGAATGGATTCATAATCGACTGAATCTGACAATAATACATTTTATTATCCTACCAAAATGAATGGAACAAAAATCGGGGAACTTCCATGTGAGAGTTTCATCTTTTCAAAATGATTGTTTTGACTTGTTTACAAAAGGCTCGATAGTGGACTGATTCAAATCGCATACTGTCATACATTGACTAGTTAGGCTTTTAGCGATTGCATGGTCGACCCTGATCGATCAAGCTAAGCTCAATTACTTGGCAAATTTAGTTTCAGTTAACCGTAATCGATCACATGGGCTCGATTAAGGTTGCTCATTCATGTCTAAGGAATGGTATTATAAAAATTAGCTTGTGTTTGTTACTTTTTTCCTTTTAACCCATGTGTTGTTTTTTTTTTCCTTTCTACTAAGGGGCCGTTTACTGAATGTTTATCAGGTACGTGTTTACCGGTAAGAGTCACCACTCTCACTTACTTTATGGGTAATATTCTTGGTTATCAAAATGAATTAATGATAAGCATTTATAACCCAGTAAGCGCCTACCAAGTAAGACTCTTGATCTTTACCTTCGTGGTAAGATTATTGGTCTTTGTTATGTTCACTCGATAAGGTAATTGGATTGATAAGTGCTTGCCAAGGTAAGTATTTAGTAAATGGTCCCTAAGACCTATATGAAATATGATTTTTGAACATATAACCAAAAACATTATAGTTTATTCAATTTAGTGAGTTTTAACAATTGCTTTGAAGTTAAGTAAAATACAAATACTTGAAAATCCAAACCAGAATATTGATGGTGAAATTATGTTCTCATAGTGATACTTGAAAAATCCAGATTGGAATTCTATCTCTCAAATATTCTTTTGTTAACCGCTGTTTTGGGTGTCAGTTAACATAGTCGCTGTTTCAAATAAGGTTTTGGATGAAGCCCTTGTACTCAAACCGATGGCTATTCGCGTATCCTTTTTCCTTGTCCCATTGGTTTTACATTCCTCAATGGCTTTTTCACGATGAACCGTCGTATTCTTAAATACACCGTGTGTCTTTGGACACTGTTGGAAATCATTGTCTAAATCCAAATCTGTTATACAAATCAGTTGGTAAGAATCATATTTATAGATGTTTAAAACATTCATGTTTATTGATGTGTGTAGCTTGTTTTTTTCCAACTTCATCAATTTCTTTGTTCACTAGATGCATCAGTTGATTGTGTTCATTAGGGTCAAGATCAAAGGGATTATTTATGGTGTTCTTGAAATTGGAGAATGTTGTTTTATTCAAAATCCATTCACTGTAGAAAGTAATATTGATCAGAAATCAATTGCATTATATAAACTCTCGAAATTTGGGATTTTACCTTGATTCAAATCGTTCCCGCCTCCATCTTCCGCCATTTTTTGGTTTCTATGGGATATTTTAATGACGAAGATATGGATTTTGATTACGATAATATGGATTGAAATATTCGCAAGATTGCATGATATTCAGAATCGATTTGGTTATGTATCATGATACTGAGAAATTAGGGTATGGATTTCATTTCCATATTTGCATCTCCAAACCATTTTACTATTTTACCCCCTGTTCATAGATGAAGGTGGCCTATCCGCGTGTTCGTTCCAGAAATTTAATCATGAAATAATCATTTATTTTTAAGCCATTGATTTCAAGAGTCAACGGTTGAAATCGGTTCATAAAGTTAATACCAATACGTTGGTTAACAAAAGAAGGGAACCCAAGAAAGTTATTGGTTTAGAAGAAATATGTAATTATCATTTAAACAAAATAAGATGACAAACAATAAGAATAAATATAAATATATAATATATATTCAAGAATAAGCACATTATCACCAGGAAAAATATAAGGAAAGAGATAGAAATAAACGAATAAGGTCTTGTTTGACAAACATAGACTTATAAATTAATTTATTTTTTAGTACATGTTTGGACGTACGTAAGCTAACTTGTTGAAAAAGTAATTGAAATAGTTCATTAGAAGTTTATTGTCACTTTTTTCAATTATAACCAGAGTTAAATTAGTTGTTATTTATTTATTATTGATTATTAATAAATAATAATTATTAATTTCAGTTTATTAATTGATTTAATTTTTAATTAGTAATTAATAATTAATATTAAGTTCAAATTATTGATTAATTTAAGTATACTTATTCATTAGTATTAACTAGAAGGGTACTCATGCAATGTATCGAGACACATATCAATTTTAATGTTTCGTCTTATCCTTTATCTATGTCGACATAATATGTTTTTATATGGTTTTGAGAAAGTGATAATGTTTTTATTTTTAAATAAAATATAAATTTAAAAATATTATAAAATTATTAGTATCAAATTAAAAATTTAAAAGTTCTAACGAAGTAATTTAATTTAGGTTTAATAATTTAT